AAGTGGTTTCCCAACTAACCATCGTCATACCCGGGGAGTGAATCCTTCTGCTTGTTGCTTGTAACAGTAGGCTGGTGAATCGGGTCTCGGTACTGTCACTAAGGGCCCCTGTAGCGCGCATGTACTAGCGAACGCACTTAGGCTTTGCATCTATTGCAGTTATTTGTATACTAAACTAGGTGTTGTGTAGATAGCATAGAATAAAAGATTACAGTCGTAACTGATGCAGTGCAGGCGTTCAAAAGGCGAACCTGCGTCATTTAGTGATTAGTGCAGTTACTCGGTCGCTAAAGCACTAGCAAGCTCGCACAGTACGTACGGCGCGCTTAGGTTCACCGTTTCCGTCCTGTATTAGTATAGGCTAGGCAACATTAACGCGCTTCGCATCTTTGCTACATACCCTGTCAAGCTCGCAACGCTAAAGGCGCGTTTGACATGGCCGCAGCTACTCTGCAGCCGCAGATGCAACAAGTTCAGCTAAGCCGAGGCGGTAAGCCATCTTCTTAACAAGAATAAGCAAAAGCAGTGTATCTCACGTCCCTCCCTATGTGGCGAGAAACCTGGTGGGCTAGCGTTAGTCAACAAGAGCGCATCATCAGCAGATGTGCTAGCACAATCCTCTAACTACTTTATCAGATAGTTCTACCCACCAGTATTTTCGTTATATAGAAAGGAGTGTTACTCTAAATAGAAATCCTATAACTATATAATCTCTAATTACCTCTACCCGTCTGCTAGCTTATTTTCTAGGATGCAGCTTTTCGTTTATTTCCTTTTCTTCCTTTCTTTTTATATAGCAGCTGAGCAGCTCTTTAAGCAAAAGCAAGCCCAGCTCAACAGATTCTGTTAGAAACTTAGTTTCATGCACGTTTATCATATGCGGTGTGAGGTAAGTAGAGATGTCAAATACAATAAGCAAAAGTAAGAGACCTTTATATATTTGAAAGATAAACACCATATTTAATCTTATTACATCTGTATTCATAACTTACTCTTTACTACGAACCTAGTTTTTTTATACTTACATCTTTCAATATGAAATACTCTATATTGTTAAGCATTCTCTTACCATGCATGGTCTTCGCCTCAGCAATGCCACCTAAGCAAGGAAACACTCAAGTTCAAGATCTTAAAGCGCGACAGGTAAGCTTATAGAGACTCAGCCTTCTTATTTATAAGAAGACTACTAACTCCTGCTGGATATATAGGACGTAAGTAGAACTATTGCCTTACATAGTATGCTAACCAGCCCATCTACTAACTGCTGCTGGATATATAGGCCGTAAGTAGGACTATCGCCTATAGCATGCTAACTAGTCCACCTACTAACTGCTGCTGGATATAGGACGTAAGTGAACTATCACCTTACATAGCATGCTGACNAACTGCTGCTGGATATATAGGCCGTAAGTATCGCTTTATGTAGTATACTGACTAGTCTATCTACTAACTACTACTGGATACATAGATTGTAAGTAGAACTATCACCTTACATAGCATGCTGACCAGCCCATCTACTAACTGCTGCTGGATATACAGTGCGTAAGTAGAACTATCACCTTGCATGGCATGCTGACTAGCCTACCTGCTAACTGCTGCTGGCTATGCAGTAAGGTAGAAGAAATCCTTAGCCAAGAGATTGTTTATCAGAGTCTTGTCCGTTGTATGGAGTTCCCTAACGGGTTCAAGCTCAGGCCGGATCAAGACGGGTTCCTATCTTTATTATTGCCTGCTAGACGAGAAATTCATCTTATTGTCAGGGCCCGCGCGACCTATCCCCTCTTTTACGTATCTACCTACCTAATTACTAGGCTTGATGTGTTTTAACCACAATAGTTATCCCATGTATAGCTCCGTTGATGTAAGGGCATAGGCCCAAAAGCCTCACTCAGCTATCGCTTTCTTCCGCTTTCCCCTTACCTCCCCTTGCTGTTGCCTAACAAGCTACAGGCTTGACAAGCCGATTAATCAATATAATTGCTGATCAAGCCATTTGCCTTAGTGTTATATGTGTATACTATTCAGCTCCAGATACTGCCAACGCAGTTTACTGTACCTTTTTAGGAACGTGATGTCCTAGGTGGAGCTGAGCCAGTTATCGTCACATTCAGCTAGCTTTTTCCTAACAAGCCTCTGCTTTAGCTAAACTTAGTTGCTTTTTGTGATACATTTAGTAGGTAGAAGTAAGAATACCAGGAATAGCATTCATACAAATCCTTGAATTTCATCCCAAGGCTGAAATAGGAGCACTTATACTACGCAGGTCCTGAGCCTTTCTGGCCTGAGGGTGTTACACGGGGTTCGGCTATACTTCTCTGATCTCGATCCGGGTTAGGGCGAGTAGACTTCTGCGGTAGGCCGTGTGATTTCTTCGGCGCAGTTTCGATGGAAAAGAGTTATGGGTTATCAACTAAAAGATAAACAATCAATTCTATAGTTATAGAACTTCCTCCATCTAAGTGTTTCTCTCAGATCGTCTTCCTCTTGCTTTGAACATCAGTCGCAGAGACTAGTGTGTCTCGGTCCTCCTTTTTAAATGGCAGCCAGTATCTATGTTAGTCGTGCTCTAGCATAGGTTATGAATTCAATTCTATGTTTTTGTGCTAGTGTACGCTTACGATAGACATCATGGGCGGCAGTAGTAGAGTTATTTAACCGAGGGTGATTATGATGCGTATTTTAAACTTCTAACTTCTAATGGTTAGTCATGATCTTTTTCTCTTGAAGATAATAAGCTTAAAAGGACCGCTTATCAAGCGCGTACTGTAGTTTCTACGAGGTGTAAGGGTAGGATCTTATGTAATTAATAACCCAACCCTACACCTACCCGTGGCCCGTGCGATCCTACCCTATCCTACACAACACCATAGTAGGGGGGTTACCCATTCACCACCGTAGGTAGGACCAAAGACGGCGTAATATTTCTAACCGCCCTTCTAGATTTGTAGAGAACAGGTTTTTTTTAGAATAAGTGTTTTATTATCGCGGTGCAATACTAGCGACAGTATGGATTCTAAG